GAATATTGTCAGTGGCAAAATGTCTCATGGCTTTCTGTAGCCATAGTGATTTCTTACTAACAAAACATGTTTTTTTTTTTCTGGATAGGCGTAATTTATAGTTCATTGTAAGTGTGTTCTATTAATTATCTATGCAGACACAATGTACCTCGTGCTACTACCATTACAGTAAGATTTGATCTATATCTGGTGCTTTTAGATACACATTTAGGGGCCTGGAACTAAGCTGTTGGGAAGGACAGCAAGGTTTAAGAAGTGGTGTGCCAGGGCTATGTCACCTAGCGTCTAGAAAAGCTGAGAAAATTTGGGCCATTTAAGCTGTTCTGAGATACTTTAGAACGTATTACTAGTATGCCAAACAATGAACATCTCGACGAGATTTGATTGACAGATAAACCGACTAATTAGCGAGCGTCATTTAGTCACGTGATCAAAAACTTTTTCTTTTAATTAAATTTAATTTAAAATTTTAATTTCCTTAGACAGCTGGTTTAAACACGAAACATATGTGAGCCTAGTCCTAGATGTCTATGCTTGGTTATAGATACCCAGATTTACATGAGCAGTGCGCATCATTGACTGGCCTTTGCAGACAACAAGGTTGACTGAATGCAGCTTTTCCCTCTTCTTTTGGGAGCGAAATACAGAGGCTTTTACAACAATTTCCCCGCCATGTTCCATGAAATAGATTAACACTATGAATATATGATTCATTTGCATACCGCCTACCCTGAATTCTCTTTCTTAAAGAAGGTTGATAGCAAAGAAAATCTTCGCCAACTCGGTAAGTCTAGCCGCCATTGTCTAAGGTTTTCGTGACTTTGTGGGCGGGGCTTCGCGTCCTTGTCGACATGTCAATTAACAAAATTTTTTACAATTTTGTTTGATTCATCTTGTTTGTGTAGAGGGGGTTGGCATGTACAGCTGGTGCTGCTAACACCACTAATCTATATTGTACTTTTTGAACTGCATCATAACTACTGTCTTGCATATAAGTAGGAAATAGGATCACATTGGGTCATATGTATATTACGATTGTGAATGTAATAAACAATACCATAGGAAGTATAACATTAAAATCATGTCAAAATATTGATTTTGTAGTTTTGCAAGAATTAACAATAATGTCTAACTAAAAACAAGTTATGATGCTCCTCACTACTTTCATTAACACAGAATTACAAGTAACAAATATTCATTGTTCAATTGTTGTATATTCAATCCATATTCAAGTATTAACTAATCAGTATTTATGTTACAATGGCAATAATGCATTATTATTTTTTTAATAGATACAAATAAATTCATAATTATTTTATCAAGTTCATTAGATTAGTATTTGAAGAATTATAAATTTAAATATATTGTGAATGCTAGTTTACTCAAGTTGATTAAGCTGTAAATTAATTTAGCCTTGTTATTAACTGTTCAAATACAGAGTAAAATCCTGGTAGAAAGTAATCAATGTGTGATTGAAATGGAAAACAATTATGGTGTATATTCAATAATATTCTGGCTGTGGCGCTGTAGCTGGCTGTTAGGTGTAAAGGTATACAGGTCTCCCTGTAATTAAAGACCCTCCAATTGAAGACCACCTCCAATTAAACACCAGTTTTCTGTGGTCCCTAAATTAACAAATGCTTTTTATCTTTATTATTCTAATTAGATACTAAAGCCGCTAAAGACCATGGAAATTCCGGTCCCAAAAGTGGTCTGTAATTGGAGGGAGCCCTGTACAAAATACCAGAGAAAATTAGTCGTAAACTGTATCATGTATAAGCATAATTCTACAGATTAAAATATATTTAATTTGATATAGGCCTAATTTAAATAAATAATAATAATAATGATAATAATAATTTCAAAACAAAATTTAATGACAAAAAAGATCGACTTTTTGGGTCCATCATGGATGGTTCCATGATGGACCCAAAACGTTGATCTTTCTTGTCATTAAATTTTGTTTTGAAATTGTATAGTAAGCGTCTCTTAATTCGTAATAATAATAATAATATATTATAAAATAAAAATCTGACCGACATACTCATCAAAATTCTTAAGGTTTCCTCTTTGGCCTAGGTTCACATTAAAAGTAATTTTGACATTTTGTTTATTTATTGTTGGTAGCAGTTGTTAAACTGTTGCCAGGTTTTTCCTTTTAAATAATTGTATAATTTAGCCTTATCACTATTGCTTAGTGTATTGTAATTTCAATTACATAGTTTCTATTGAACGATTTCAAATATAAATTTGTCCAAAAACTTCTAAGCAACGTTTGTCCCCTGGATAAATGGCAACCATGGCACACCTGTACCTGCTGACATTTTGTTACACCTGATTAATTTAAAAAAAATGTAATTTATCTGTAAATGTTTCATTTATTTATGTAGAACTGACAGTTCTTTTATAGTTGACTCTATTCTGCTTTTTTTCAGTTGAGATGCTTTTTATAAAGGAAATTGTATCTTGGGGTATGCTTCAAAAAAATAATTGATTTGTTTAGTTTCGGGTGACACTGTTATATTGTTGTACTTTAACAATAACATTGTGTTTACCTGTCATGGTCCTAGTTTTCAAATCGCTGAATTGCATTCTTTATAAGTTATGCATTCATTTTAAGAATTCCTAAACATAATTTAAATTGATAGTGTTGGCAAACAACAACCATTTATTTCAAAACTCTTAAATTTACATGTCCATCCATCATTCCAAAATTTGATTCTAAGCTGTTATTTCAACTGTACTTACAAAGTTAAAAATAATTATCTTGTCTTAAACTTCTTTATTTATTTTGTTTTTAACTGTACATATAATGTACCTAGAATATATGCTATATAGTATTTGTATACATGTAATAACTATAAGTTTAATAGAGAGCAGCTTTTTTGCAGTCAGCTAAACTGGTAGCCAATGTGTGTGCTGAACTGTGGAGACCTCTAGGTCCCCGGTTCAATTCCCATCGCTGCTCTTTTTGTGTTTCAGGTAGGGAACTGAAATGCAAGTTACGATAGCGCACTGTCTTTCAGATGAGGGGTTTAATTAAAGCTGTTGGTGCATTATGGCCCGTGTGCATGCTAAAGAACACAGGCCACTTCGGAAAAGAGTAGGAGATTGTATCCTGGTATACTGCCAAATCACCAACAGAAGGATCCCAGTCTTTAGACTTTCGTGGGATCCTTGGTGTTTACCGAATAAATCCATCCATCCAACATGACAAGCATGTTTTATAAATTTGTTCTTCTACAAGCCTCTGTGAAGTATCAAGTTAAGCAGAGACGGAGTAATCTTAGCTGCATGCATAAAATAAGAAACATAATACGAGGGCCAATGTAATTACATGCAGGCAATATCAAACACTAATTAAAATGATTTATTTATTGTTTTCCAATAGATACAGGGCCTTTGGAGCTATTATTACACACAATGACTTCTGACATATGATACAAGAAAATAATATCTTCTTCATATGGTCAACCACTATCATAAAAATTAACATTACTATACATCTCCCTAAACAATAAGATGGGTCTAATTAAAAACAAACTGTATCCCTAGAAAGAAAGGGCAAAGGTTGGCTGCAAAGAACCCATAAAATGTTGAAGTACAGTAGCTTAAAAGATTTTCAAAAATTCTAATCAATTGTATTCCAGAAGCATTCAAAGTTCAAAAGAACGATTATTTCTCCAATATTAATAATCCAAAAATAATAAATAACTTGCCAAGTTTGAGGGCGAAATCCCGGAAAGTGGAGCTTGTAGGGCTGCCCTGAATGAAGAGAGAAAAAAACAGAACCAAAAAAAAAAATATAAACAAAGACATGCATGAGAAAAAAAAAAAGCACAGAACAAAACAAGCCCAAAAAGGAAAAGAGACAGCAAAACGGATGACAAGACAAGACAGACAAAGCAGACAAAATTAGGATACTCAAAATTAATATACTCAAAGTTAATATGCAATTTTTTCTCCCCCTTTTTTTTTATCTTTTTATTTTGGGACAAAACAAAGGGAACAGAAAATTGTGCATAATTTGATAGGAGGTGTTTCTTCAGTCTCAAACAAAAGCGCTTTTTTTTGGAATTGGAATTTAGAATGGAGTGAGGGAGATTGTTCCCGGCAGAGCTTAGGACCAGTAAATTGAATATTGTGCTGGAAAGATGTGGTTCTATGAAAGGGAATATGAAGATGATTAGAGGAGTGGGTAAAATGACTGATTAAAGGGATAAAGAATCAATGCTTTAGTTCAGGATATTTTAAGGTTTGGAGACCCATAATGTGTTATCAAGGTGCTATCAGTTATGATGTACTTAACTAAACTGTTGTTCTCATGTTCCCCACCTTCAACTAATTCTGTCACAAGGTCTTGTATGTATTAGGTTATTACTGTAGGTCCAAGAATCCATCAAGTGGCTTACTTTGTATAATAGACATCATCATGCAATCAATTTACAATTATGATGTGTGTATGTAACCTGTTAATTGGATGGAAGAAGGTCATTTATTACGCATGTAGATAGAATATGGTAGTAACTATTATGCACTTGTGCCGCTAGCCTGGCCAACTTATTTACCTATGTTTGTGTGTGTTGGTGGGGAAAGGAAGGGGACAGGGAAGGAAGAAGAAAAGAAAGCATCTGAAAAATCATTAAATGTGAGGCGAGACATGGTATAGTTTTTGGCCCAATTCTGGTGAATTAACATACATTTCAATATTTCTGTATAATGAAAAGTCACATTGTGGTGTAAGAGCATTAAGAATTATGACACGGACACATTGTGTTGTTATTAGGTGAATTATATTATCATTAATTTTGATACTTTTATAAAAAGTCAAAGCAGTGATTATGCTCTGAACATAATGAATTGAGACTCGGATATTGTTTTGTGTTGTGATTAGGTGAATTAAATAGTCATGCACATTTCAGTGGTTCTGTTAATGAAAAGTCGGAATGCTGCGAGGCTCAGAGCACTAAGAATAGAGACGTGGACATGTTGTGTTATGAGTCGGTGAATTATGTTCACGTCAAATACATTTCAATGATTCTGTTAATTAAAAATAAGAATGCTACAAGACTCTGAAAGAATTGAGGCACATAATAGTCATAAATGTCAATCAACTATTGACTGATCTTGTTTTAGTAAGTACTGTACTTTAGGGTACAACGCACATTGTCAGGGGCTGTGACAGCATCAAATAGTCAAGGTAAAATTCATTATAATTGATAGGCTCTAATGATTAAAAAATGTCTAGATTGTTATGGAATCAGAAAATAACAGTTTGTAAGGTTTATACAATTTAATAAGGATATACTGTTCGTCATGAATTGTGGAAATGTTAGTAATTAAAACATTGAATAGCTAATTTTAAAGGATCAATCAGTGGTGTAACAATGACTCGTGGGCCCCATAAAATTTCAGTAAAGTATTTGCTAATCAAAAGAACATGAATATTAACGCTTATAGGCAATGACCACAGTAGGCCTATAGTTAAAACATATTATCACCAGTCAAAGAAACTGTGTTATTTAATGAATGTTCATTGGTGAGGGAAATATTTTATCATTCTACTTCCCAATTGAAAGCTAATAATTTAGCCTACTGAACAAACAAAGCAACTCAAATATTGAAAGTTATCTAGAGTAGCATATCACAGACAGTAGTTTTCGGCCGAGGGGTAAATCATGGGTGCCGCTAACTACTGCTTTATCATTAATGCTGTTTTGAGCTGCCCAGGGCTTAAAATGGCGGTCCAGTGAACACATCTGGCTCCTGTGAACTTGATAACACCCATTGCATCTTTCAGAAGAGTAAGGGGGGTAGGGCACCCCTATGCTATGGTTCATGTCAGCCCCTCTCGTTGTCGATGTGAACTTGAAGCTACTGTAAGTGCGTCTCTTTTCCACGCCTATTCACGAACCACACCCATACACAATTCAGCACAATGGCCCTGCGAGTTATGGGATATTCTTCTACCTTTACCATTTTTTTTACATTACTTTTTTGCAGAATTTCTTTTATTATAAAGACACACTAAGTGTATATATTGACTACTTGAACATTTCTAGATTTTGCTATACATAATATATAATAATAATAATTAAAACTATATTTATAATTTCTTTTTTCAAAAATTCAGTGTATCAAGGATCATTAACTAACTGTTTGTGATTGGCTATAATGATGCGTGTAATTACCCCCAATCATATTTAGAAAGTGCAGTCACCATATTGTTGTTATTTTAAAACGTTTCAATGTTATTGTTAATCATCAACATAATATACTTTATTACATTGATTCTGTAGTTCAATTAAATAGTTAATGTCCTCCTGAGGAACTTCTAATTCATGTATACTTGAATATAAAAATATGCTCCAATGTAGGTATAGTTAGCCTAGATATAAATTTAATGTTATTTTTAGTATTAATTTTCTTTGTTATTATTGTTTGTTTTATTATAATTATTATTATTCCTATTAATGTTAAAATAGAATATAATATAAAATTATATAATTGATTTTGTGTTGTCTAAATCTTGGTTTCCATAAAATCGCTACGTTGTTACTATAGTGTGTTTACTATCAAATGCATGATGTGGGAAAGACTCCCTAATTTGACCAACAATCAGCATTGCCAATAGCATGTAGCTATTTTATGGAAACCAGGGTTAGCGTCATTGTGTACAGTTAGTGCAGTACACTCAGCATTGTAGATCTTCTTTTCGAAAACCCTATTGAACCTAATGACCTTGTTATCTCAGTCAAAAATTATTGTCTCATTTTAAAGTGTTTACAATAGGCTATTTGTGATGGGACATTGGTTTGCAATGATAAGAACTGGGAGCAATTAAAGCCGCTTTATACCAATTTAATTCCTTGCGTACATTTAATGGTTTGGATATTGTTTTCTTTATTTGCATATTATTTTCAAGAATAATGACTTCATGGCGTCTATCTTTCTAATACTGTATTTAGTTGAATAAACACCCTGCTTGAGTAAGTGCCTCCCTCGAATAAACTTCTTCCCCCCCTCCCCCGCCCAAAAAATTACTGAAAACAAATCTAATGGAAGCAACATCATTCTCAATACATTTTGTTAATAGTCTAGTCCAGTAGAATTACATTTTTTTTAACCTGGTTGTGAGTAAGTCGTCTTTATAATCACGCAATAACACATTTTGACGGTAATTACAGTATGTCTTGTACAGTAGTTCAACATTTACAGTGAAATTAAGGGGCGTTTATTTGAGTATAAAATATGTATCCATTTCACACTTAAAAAAAATAAATGCCTCCTTCAAATAAAAGCCCCTTCAAAAATACTCCTCAATAATAAATATGGTATAAATATTCATATTTAAAATACAAGTACCAGATCAAAATCAGTAGCGTATAAAAAATCGTAACAAACAAAAGGAATTCATACCGGTATTGACTGCCAGTCTGGGTTGGTTCCGCATTCATCAGGATTTTTACAACTCCACTCCCTATGTATCATACCGAGACACAGTTTTTGCATCACATACTTCTTTTCTATAATAGACTAAAAAATTTATATTGTTTAAAATTTTTTCTTTCAGTACTAATGCTATTAAGATAACTTGTCAAAACAATGAGATGGTTTAGCAAAAGTAATATGGAAATTATTTGCTTGACAAACAGCTTGAAAGACATGTGAACAACAACATTGTTTGACAACAGTCAACCCCCTACTAGAGAAAGTCATATGTAGGAGTATTAATGAGGAACAGAACAATGGCTGGTCTATCAGTCCCGGGTTCTGATTCATCAGGCTTGAGTGACAAGGCCTCTCCAAAGGGATCCTCTTTGTCAACTACCAGCATGTCATCAGCACTCAACTATTCACCATCTTCTAGGCCTGGAATGTCATACTCCATTGGAGGTTTCTTGTACCGTAAGAGCTCTCTTCCAACATCGTCTTTAATTGTAGGAAATAGTAGTAGCAGTCCAGCATATGGGTCATCGATTTACTCTGTAAATTTGTGCAATGATTCAACATCTTCAATGCAATCAAATCCTGTTAGCTACAATGACTGGTACAAGACTAGAACCTCTGGTTCTATGACAGATTTAAGACAAGGTACAGATTCCCCAATTTTAACAAGACATGACGATGTTTTAAAATCTTCTTCTTTGACTGCAAGCAATGATTCTATTAACCAGGAGTTCTCAAATATGCGCGTATCACCAAAATCGAGTACTGAAAGCTTTCTGGATTTTTCTAAACCAGTCAAGAGCGCTTGGACATCCGATAGTGTATATAATACTGGTTATAGCAACAGATCTTACTCACCATCATGGACATCATATTCAACAACAATCCCAAAGACTTTCACAGGATTACGCTCTGCAACGCCTAGTCCAGTCCATGACCCTGGTAAATCAGTGTTTACAAGATCACTTTCTAGTCCTGTCGATTTTACGCCGAATTCATATTCATCTGTGACAGCACGTCCTACCAGTTTTTTGCCATCAAATTATTCATTAAAAACACCACCAGTTAATAATAAGCAGTATGATATTTTACCTGGACGACCAGTTTCTCCGGACATTGTTGTCACACCAGATGAAAATTTAACGAAAAGCACATTCTTGGAAAATAAATCCAACTTGTACAGATCAAAGTCTGACAAAGATACTTTAAAAAACTTTAAGACAATCTCTCCGAGGTCTGAAGCTCTGAAGAGCACCACCAAACTAAGAAAATACCTGAAGAATGATTCGAACAGTATTGACCTCAAAGAGCCTTCAATTGACCTTGATATACAAAGATCACCGGTAGCAGTTCTCATCGCTGAAACGAATTCCAGCTTAAGTCGTAGCCGGAGCATGTCACCAACACCATTGAAAGCATTTCAATTCCAAAGTATGTTTGAATCTTCAGAGGTAACCACAAATCCAGTTATTGTGTCTAAGATCTATGATGCCCAACATACCTGTTCAGCACCCTACAATCAGGAAGATGTACCAAATACTCTTTTGACGCCAGAAAATAATAACTATGAAAAGAAAAAGCCAAGTAGTGAGCCAGCAAATATTTCATGGAAACAAAGAAAAGTGACTCCAGCATCCAGTAAATCATCCTCTGCCACAGACCTTAAAAAGTCTGGTAGCGTTCCATCCGATTTAAATACTTATTCAAATTACCCTAGTACTGCGGAACAGCGAACAGCATTTGATCCGTCCGTTAATCTAACTGAAACACCCAGAGGTCGAACTGGCAGCGTAGGGTCAAAGTCTTCACCAAAGATTCATATACCATCATTTGATGAGTACAAACGAATGAGAAAGTTAAGTGAGTTGAAAATTAAACTAGCTTCACCAAGAGCTTCTCTAAATAATAGTATAGATAAAAAAAATAAAGATATTAGTCCAGATAAAGTGAATAGTGAACTGGATGAAGAAGTGTCTAAAGCTTTTGCTAGTGCATCAAATAACATTATTGATGTTAATTCAAATAAAAAAGTGTCTCGGAGAAAGAGTAAAGAAGGATCGAAAAACTCAAGTGTGAAGTCAAAACCAGAAGCGGAACAAATTAAACAATCCGACGAAAGACAATCGAGGGAGGATTCTAGGAAAAGTGGAGTTTCAAGAGAAAAAAGGTCATCTTCAAAGTCAAGATTACAACGGAGGGATCCAGTAGAACGGAGTAAATCTCCATTCTTGATACGGAAGACAATGCAAAATCGACAAGACAATGAGGAAGAAAGGAGGGAGAGAGAACATCCGGATAAAGATAAGCAAGAGGAAGATCGGAAAACTGGAGAAGTGAAGGTAGAGTTAAGGAGAACAAAAAGCCAAGGTACAGTAGGACACTATTTTAATTTACCAGCATTCTAATCACCATTTCCACGTAATTTAAAAAATATAAAGACAATAAATCAACACATCTTCACTGAAACTGATGAAATGAAACTTATATGGTGTTGAATGGAAGAAATCTGTAAATTGACCATCACTACAATAATTATCAGCCTGGTAATTGTTTATTAACTTTAAACTTATCAACACCATTAGCATCCTTATCATCGCCACCACTACGAACATATTTTTATCATCATCGTTGTCATCATAACTTTCACCAGTATTAGTCTTGTCATCATCATCATCAGTACAGTAACCAGAATAAATTATCATTAACTTTGTAAAGGACATCATCACCATGATTATGATGACCATTGTTGCATTGCAGAAGAAAACCAGACAGAATCTGGACCAAAGAGGCTAGAAAGACGTCACCGACGTCCAGCAAGTGATAAAAGAAAGCAAAGTAGAGAGGTGAGTAAACTGGTAGTACTTAGCTTATGGTGGCTTATATAGCAAATAAGTAATCATTAAATTAATTAATAGTAAAGATTAAATTGAGTGGTACTAGTAAGAAGGTGCTTGCTTTTCAATAGGAGGAACCAGGGTTCAAATCATATACTGCATGTGGTATGATAATATTAACTACTGTAAATTTATTTTCTATTTTAGATTTTGCTTATTTTAATATTTATTTAGAGAGCAATAATTTACATAGATTGAAAATCCTTTAAATTATCAGAAAAAGAAATATTTAATTTTCATTTTATTCACTTTCATTGCCAAATTTCAAATACAATACTTCACATCCATATCTTGATAAAAATAGAAATCAGTATTTAATATTTTCGTAATTTAAATGTAGTTATTATATAATAAACAGCAATATCATTATTTAAGTTAGTTTTTATTACCAACTGAATAAACATCCACAATATTTTTTGAATAGTTTAAATCCATATCTTTGATTAATTTCTAGGTAAAACTAATGTTTAATATTTAAGTAGTTTTATCTACCTTGGTTTTAAACAGTAACATCGTTATGAAAATTCTCCATAATAATCTTCTAATTCCAAGGTATTTTTTTCTTATGATTAAAAAATATAAACATCCTACTCTCTCTAGTTTACAGAGTCAAGAGTATGACTGGAAACTTAAAAAATAGATAGATCGATAGTAAAAATAGATCTAATAATGGTACAATCTGTAAAGCAGCCAATAATGATAAAGTATGCAGGATGTTTACACTTTCAATAGCATATAGAAGGATGAATAATGGCTCAAAATTCATTTTGCAAGTTAGAAAGTTACCATAAAATTATAAAAAGTACATTTCATAACAGTGACCTCATCCTTTATAAGAAATCAATTGTAAGAAGTATCATTATGGATTTAATTAACTGCTGCACATATTTAAGACAATGCAGAGTCAGTGAAGCGTGTAAATAATCATTATCAATTAGGCTGTGTTACAACGGTCAGAATCTATGGACAGGCATGCACTTTTCACCTGATTGCGTTCAATACATAATGACCATTGATATGTCCATACCGACACAGTTAGCTCGATATTGCCTCAGTAGTATAATTTGTTTTTATATCATCATGAGTTTTCAATAAATATTAAATACAAAAAGATATGATAGCTTTTCTAAATGGACTAAGACTTATGAATAAAGTCTTTCAAACCAGTTTTGATTTAAATATTTAAAAACTGGGGGGAAAAGGGGTATAACCACCTTATTTTCAGCCTTTTCCCCCAGTTTTTAAATATTGTCAAAAATCTGTATCTCATAAACTGCTTCCAAGTTTTTCATCAAATATGCTTTTCATGTCTTACAAAAATCAGTTCTACATATCAACACATTCTTTCCTCCGGAGCCTGGCTTTAAGGCATTTAAATTCTTTGGAGTTTTTTTTTGTTTTCATAATGAAATGTCTTTCATTAAAAACATTGTTAGTAACAGCAAACCTCAAATCCTAATATCATTAAAGGTAATATCAATCACATATAACAGTTACTATGGTAACCATAAAACATGATTTTTTATGCACCAAGACACAAATCAAAGATAATTCACCTTGTGCCTCTCCATTGATTTTTAAATTTTAATCGGATTAACATTGGGACATGTGAGCTAAAATGTTTTCCGATGTAATTACCCAATGCCCTTTAGAAACTAATTTGACCGACATTTAATAAAATGAAGAAAGAAAGATTAAACAAGGAATTAGAAAAAAAAAGAAAGAAGTAGATGTTTGAGCCTCAGATAATGTCTACTTGTTCTTCAGTAAAACAAATTATATGCGTTTGATTTTACAAAACTATAAGAATAAATTAAAGTGAAAACATGTTTGTAATCAAATTAATATTCTTCGCTTATAGGAGGCTGGCTTGTCACGGTCATGTTCCGACTCAAAAGCAGTCGATGTTAAAAAGCACAAACAGCGGAAACAGCGGTCGGTTGAAGAAGGGTCAACTCCAAGAGAGCGCCCTCATCCTGCAAGGCACTCAAGCGAAAGAGAAATCAGAAGGAAAAATTCTCAAGGTAAGAGGGTCCTCTTGATTGGGCCTCAAAGACAGGGTGAAGATACAGAGTAGAAAGAGGAGTAAAAGGCACATACAACAGCCATTGCTTGCTTTTTGTTTTCAATAATTTCAAACAGTGGGTAACTTACGGAAGCACCTAAGTGCCATTCGACTTGACGACTTGTCAAGATAATTTATGTTGTCAAGTCGACATAATATACATATCATGTCGACATGGCGAGATAGATTATCTTGACAAGTCGACATAATAAAAATTGTANNNCTTGACAAGTCTTCATAGTAAAAATTGTATGTTGTCATGGCGAGATAGATTATACTGACAAGTCGACATAATACATATTGTATGTTGTCATGGCGAGATAGATTATCTTGGCAAGTCGAAATAATATAAGTTGTATGTTGTCATGGCAAGATAGGTTATCTTGACAAGTCGACATAATAAAAATTGTATGTTGTCATGGCGAGATAGATTATCTTGACAAGTCGACATAATAAAAGTTGTATGTTGTCATGGTGAGATAAATTATTTGACAAGTCGACATAGTAAAAATGTTATGTTGTCTTGGCGAGATTAGGTTATCTTGACAAGTCGACATAATAAAAGTTATGTTGTCATGACAAGGTACAATTTGTATTATGTCGACTTATCAAGATAATCTATCTCGCCATGACAACATACAACTTTTACTATGTCGACTTGTCAATGTCAATATAATCTATCTCGCCATGACAACATAAAATTTTTATTATGTCGACTTGTCAAGATAATCTATCTCGCCATGACAACATAACATTTTTACTATGTCGACTTGTCAAGATAATTTATCTCACCATGACAACATACAACTTTTATTATGTCGACTTGTCAAGATAACCTACTGTATCTCGTCATGACAACAAAACATATTTAGTATGTCGACTTGTCAAGATAATCTATCTCGCCATGTCGACATGATATGTATATTATGTCGACTTGACAACATAATTATCTTGACAAAGTCGTCAAGTCGAATGCCACTTAGGTGCTTCCATAGTAACTAGCCAATTACAGGATGGACGATATTTTATAAACCAAGTCTATGGCAGATACTTTATTTAACAGAGATTTGCTTCCCACCGGCAAAAAATAGATATAATCAAACCACAAAACTTCATATTTAAGTTATTGTTGTTATTCTTCTTATTAATATTAATATTGTTAGTCGCAACATGTATACTTGCCATCCCCTTCAACGTGTCAGCCCAAGGTTAATGTGTGAATAGTATTGGGCAAGAAAGAGTACATGGCGATTTCTTTACCCAGTAACATTTAATCGTCCATGTGACCTGTTTAAATGCAAATGGTGATAAAAATGGAGTAGAGTTGTTTTTTAGTTGTGAGAAAAAGTCCTGCTGTCAGAGTGAACCCAGGCACCGTGTGCTTATGGCCTCCCTCTCAAGCTTTGGCGGTCGACAATTAGCTGATACTGTCTGTCTGACCTTGCCTTGCTGTCTATATGATTTTGTTAAAACATCCAATAAAGTAAAGAAATTAAATTGGTGCTGATTTTGAATATGTAGGCCTACTAAATATCATGATGAATAAGAGTGGAGTGTTTAGCTTAGTGGTTTTTGGTGAGACTTTTTTTATTCCTTGTTTCACATACTTATTTTTTTTTAAAGAGCATCAAATAAAAATTGAAAAATTAAAAAAATAAATAAATAAATAAAAATAAAATAATAATAAAACAATAAGAGTATCAGAATAAAAATAAAATAATTTTTTTTTCTTATTTAGCAAATAGTTTTCATAATTAGGAAGAAATATATATATCTTATCTTTGGAGATTTCAAGGCAGCGGAGGGCATAATAACTTTTATTTTTAAAAAACTTTTTAAAACATCTTTTTTCTAGAGAGTAGTTTTTTAACAGTTTTTTAACATTACTTGACTGATTCATAATTTTATTACATACTTGTGTTTTATTGTTGCTATGTTTTTATCGTTAACTAGCTTTTTGTAGGAAATTTTATTGAATTCCGGGCTTTATTGTACTTGCCATTTCTATTATTTGAATTATATAGTACTTACTTTTATATTTGTATAAGTGGGTTTTAATGTACTGCACTTTGATCTTCGGAATTTTTATTGAATGTTGTAATTTGTACTTGCCATTTTTATTGATAGATTTAAAATATTGTACTTATTTTTATCATGTACAGCGCTTTGATCTTTTTTGTAAAGGTGCTATATAAATGCTTTTTAATAATAATAATAACTCTTGTATTCGCTCTTAAGAAATTTGACTGAGCACTCATCAAATCATACCCCAATAGTCACTTTTTGTTCACAAGGCAAGAGAAATAAAAACCCAATTGTAATTTTTACTATGGCTATATAAAAGAAAATTACCATTAGAATGACATTACTAAGGAAAAAAAACATCTCCATTTAAAGCTCTAGGTACTTAATAATATAGTTCAAATTGATACAGTTCCTAATAGGTAGGTAATTCATTATTGATTTTCACATTTCATTCGCTTATTGATTCCTTTATGCGATTCTGATCCTCGCCCAGTATGACGCTATGGTCGCAAGGACAGTGTACCTAAATGTTTAGCATTAGCTAGTGGGTTTGTCTAATATTTATGAATGGTGTCAAATATGTACACTTGTTTTTCTAGCTCAAGAAGGCTCTGAAAGTTAAAGGTTTTACGTTTTCTAAGTTGATAATTCAATGGTCTACTAAATATTTGCTAACATGAAATTAATTGAGCTTTAAGAAATTTACCTGCTGTTCCAAACATTGTTAATTTTTTGTTAATATTTGTAAATATATAATTATTTTTTTTTTTAAAAATATTTTAGTACAAGGCTTCCTTTATTATTATTTATTTATTTATTTCAACAACCTTTAATGAGGGTGGTCCATCCAGCCGAAGCTGATCATTAGGGACCTTCAATACACATAGTAAAACAAAACAAAAGAGAGTATTAAACTAATTAATTTACAGTAAAATAAATAACAGCCTCTCAATTCAAAATTTACATAAAGAATGAATTCAAAATTAAATGAAAAACATAATATAAAAATTAAAGCAGTACTAATCACTGAATAGTTACATCACTGTATAAAAAACTCAAAAAAAAAAATATAATAATAATAAGTATAATAATTTATATAACGTGTTGTGGATTGAAGATCTACCTACAGTATGTGCTTACACTGAGTCCTAATTATGCTGAAAAACTTTCCTCCCGCCTGACACCGTCCTGCTATTTCTGTCGCGTTTTATATGACATCTGCGATATGCCATATATGGGCATGATAATATAACATCACACCCATATATGGACAGAACATTTGATAATACGGACAGACCTTTAGGTCATTGGATATTTGGTTAATGAACTAAGATAACCTTTCTTGGTTGTATGTATCATTATTTTGTATACTTCATCAATTTATAACTCCAGGCAAGTCTCCTCGATCCGATGTATCCGATGGAAGCCTTCCAAGCAGCGGAAGAGTAACGCCAAGCCTGTGTGTAACGTCGAGTTTGGAGGCATTAAACGAAAAAACATTGATGCAGGTGAGTTTGTGAAAGTGAATTGTAAAATATTTATTTGACAGTCATCAGTTACCTAAATTTTAGACAAGTAGTCAATAACAGTGAATAGAAACAGAACATTTAAGGCATTCGAAAGAAGGATTGTCTTACTGAGCAGCAGTTCAACAGCTTTTTTTCTTTTAAATGGCAATGCTTTATCAAGCTGTATTGTACAAAAGACAAATAGTTGTAAAATAAATGTAATAAACCATATGTTATATTCAAAATATTTTTGTTTGTCATTCATTGTTTGTCTTTTGTTTCTCTTTCCGTTGTGAATAATTGCATAGTAATTTTGAGGCAGCGTCTTCCTGTGGATGATAGATATGTGCTCCATATATATATATACATATATATGAAAGTTCTAGGCTCTCAAAAAGATGGAACGAACTTCTTTATGTTAATCCTTAATTTCTAAGGATCATGTGGGGTTTATTTTCCCCTTGTATTTAAATTATTATTAGTTAAGTTGACGATGTTTAACTATGGATGTAAAGTCTGAAATAAAGAATAATGAATGAATGAATGAATATACATATATATATATACACACATATCTATATATATATATA